TCTAATTTTTTTTTTTTTCTTCACGGCATTCCGATAGTTTTTCAGCGACTGTTCTTAAATCGTACAAACAGAACGTATTGAAGCTTATTAACTATAAAGAAGACTGGAAAGAAATTCATAAATTGTTCATAGTGAAGACGAAGTTTGGAATCTTTTTTTTCTTAAGTTCGTTATTGATTGTTAGTTCAACGATATTCTTTTATTTTTCTTTCTTCTTATATCTATTTTGTCATAAAAAAAATTCTTCCCTTCTGTCCTCCATCTGCGCACAATTATCAATCGTTTCTCATTTTTAACTTCAGTATTCACTATCAAGTTCAATCCTTTGAATATTCAATATATTCAATCCGTTATTTTCTATCCACTACAATCACGGACATAGTCGTAAAGAGAAACTTCATTTCCCAAAAAAGAATTTCATCTCCCACAAGAGAAATTCTTCTTCTTTTTTGCTTTTTTCTGCTTTTCCACAAATCTTCTTTTTTAATCGCCGTTGTAATCCTTTTCATTGTGTCCTTTCCCTTTGACTATGTGGCTGTGATTCACACTTGCACTTCTCTGACCCGTGGTTAAAGAAGCCACAGAGTCCAGCTAGAAACGAAGAACAATAATGATTCAGTGAAGTATATCGATATTACTCTTAGCCTTGGTTTATGTTGTGGTTTTTCTCGTGGGCTGGCCTCGTAAATCCTCAGCTTTTCAGCAGATAATGTAGGCGACGCGGTCATTACGAGGGGTGACCGTGTACCACGGTTAATTAAAGTCACGTAAGGCGTCGTATTAATCTGGCTCTGCGTATACCACGTTATTACTAAACATCTTGTTAAGACAGCTAATAACAAGCTGATATTATTTATCATCGGCCCCCGTTCTGGCTGACTAACATATATATCTCGAATAATCTCGTGGAATCTGTAACAGAATCTTTTGACCCATGCTCCTCTTGTCTTCTGTCCTATCTCGTGACTGCAATACGAGGTATTTTGGTAGCTGAAAGTTGTAACAGTGTGGGCGACAGCTGTGAAAAATATTTTGCTTACTTCCTGATATTTTTACAATTTTATAATTTCTTATAGAACATTTAATTGGTTGTGCCTTTAAAACTTTTTTTTACTAATCACGCTGTTCCGAAGAAATATAGGATAAAGCCGCCTAATCTCTCCTCTGATATGAGACTCTAGCTTATCTTAGTATGAATAGAATTGCCGAACTTGATCGCAATGTTTCTTTGTAACTAAAGTGCTGCTGAATTGCACCGCAACAAGCTTTTAAAAGATTTTTAATCATTTTATTAAGTAAAATAATAATCTTTAAACCATCTATTTTAAGTGTTCAAAAACATTGAAAAAAATGAGCTCCAGAAAAAAGTGATAAGTGAAATTTCATATTGGGAATCCTGCGAATTCTTATCTGCGCAATTTGTGCAATTTTTATTTTCAATTCATTTATTTTTTATTTTGTTTTTAATAAACGAAGATATTGACTTTTCCAATAGATTGTAAAAGAAGAGATATCACAGTTTTAAAATGTGTAAAAAAGTTTGATAAAAGTGTTTTCAGTTTTTTTAAAAAAAAATGAGTACGAATAAAGGGAAAATTGAAAGAAGATCTATGAAATTATACAAAGAAACATTGTTAAGCGATTCTTGCATTCTTAGAATCTTCCTATTATGCGTCCTGTTCAATAGAAGGCTTCAGTGTTCTCAAAAGTTACGTAAACATTTGTTCACCTTATTACGTAGAATATATAATGAGCACTTTCTATATATCCCTATCCTTTTTTTTTTTTATCCTTTTTCAATCATAACTAATAATCTCATTCGTTCTGTGATTCGATAAAATCTTTTAGTTTTAGTTAACACAATGTGTGTATAACAAGCTCAGATTTCAATTTCACCGGCAACATATTTAACAAATATTTCCATCTGATGGATTTTTCGCAAGAACGATCAATGGATTTCAATTCTTCTCTTCAGAAGAGCTCGTTGCTGTACGTGTTGCCCTTCATCTGCAACTGCGTTTTCGTCTCTCCATCCACACTAACCGATGGAGGCCCGAGGATCTTCAAGCCTGACGACTTTCAGTACATACTGGAGAGCCACAACGTTGAGAGAAACTCGGACGAGGCTGATTCGAAGGAACGACGAAGCAACATAGGCTCCTCTTTCATCAGATACGGCCGCAGCGATCCTGTTGGAAACGTGGAGAAAGTTTTCAGCAGCGAGAACGACGGTAGCTCAAAAGTGAACAGGTATCCTCGTTGGAAGTCGCCGGATATCATAATTAGATTTGGCCGATCGGATTTCAAGGGTTTGAACGGCGATAGGAATTACAAGCGGGGGAAGAATTATTTGAATTCTATCAGGTAAGTGTAACGTGTGTGTGTGTGTGTGTGTGTATTTTACTAATACAAATAAGAGCTAATCTGTG